AGCTTGCCTTGAATTTTTTTCTTTTTTTTTTTTTTTTCCCTTTTTTTTTTTTTTTTTTTTTTTTGGAAATCATTAAAACAATGCATTTAGATCAGCACAGATAGGACCCAATGTGAAGGTCAGGAAAGCTGCAATAACAGTCTATAATAATTAATAGAGTTGTCTAATACACAGTGGATAGGTTAAGAGTAAATTGCAAAAAAGCCTTTTGCATTCATGGGGGGCAGGCCACCAAGAAAAAAAAAAAAAAATCAGCACAAGCACTTAATAAAATTTAAAACCATAAGTTACAATGCTGTAATTGAAATCACGAAAGCGACTACAGTGGTGCATGTTCTTAGGACTCATGGTCAATCTAGATAATTAGTGTTAATTTTGCTTAATTTTTTTTTATAAGGCATTGCTTAATTTTTTTTTTTATAAGACATCTTTCCATAACATCTGCTGGTTCCTCTCTATTACTTATTAGAAGAAAAAAAAAGTGAAAGCTGCAGTGCCTTTCTCCAAATACTGTCCCCCCCGCCCCCCCGATATTAAAGAACAACTAGTGTTAAATATTTTAAACTTTGTAAAAAACATCAGAAACCTAACATTATTACATAGTTGTCTCTCAAGAAAGAAAAGTAGAAGAGAAAAGCGGGGGGGGGGGAGGATATAAAGGAGGAGTTTAGAAGGTAAGAATCCTAAAAGTTAGAGAGGAGATACTTTAAAAAACCCCACCACCATAGGCTGGGAGTGAGCACAAGGAGTAGAACATTATAATTAGAGAACAGATGTATAGCGCTGTCGTGGCAGACTGGAAATGAAAAGGCTATCCTGCTATGTAAAGAGAGAGGGGGGGAAATAATCAGATTTCGCATTACAATATGGAAGAGCTACCCAACAGAAAGAATTAGCATTTAACTGTATATTTTTATATGCCATATAAGTCACATTCAATCTAAAGAGCAAATTATAAGCCTACAGTTCAGCTCAGTCTTACTGCAAGCAATTAGAATACTACAGCCCTGTGAACTTGGGGCTACCATTAACTCAGAGCTGTCTCTTACCTGATTTCAGACCCTTTCCACCCAAGCCACTATAAAACGAAAGCTAATTTTTATTATAAAGGGTGGTATTATTTACGTTGTTTGGTTTTGGAGGCCTCCCCTCGTTTTTTTGGTCACGAAATCAATGCCCTACAGTGGCAGCGGATGCTTTCAACTGCTTCCCACCCCTCCCCAAACTCCCTTCTCCCCCTGCATCCCTGCTCTCTGCGAGGTGATGCAGCGCGTCTGGCAGCTTCAGACACAGCTTCTAGCTGGAGTTATATGAGGAAGTTTTGCAAAGTGGCACGTTATCACTAGAGATTTAGTCATTCCATGTGGGCTGGATTCAAACTGAGATCTCAGGAGCTCAAAAGACAGAGCGACACAGCCTCCGTGGAAGCCTGTGTACGGCAAGTGTGCTAGAACAGAGCCCTGTAATGAGAGGAAGCGCAGGTTTTATTAACAAACAGTATGGCAAACCACAATTTCTTTTAAGATCAGTTCATACCTCCTTAGGAGAACTATAATTGGGGATGCCTTGATGTTTCACTATGTGACGAGTTAAGAATTATGCCTGAGTCACTGTACTAGCCTTCATTTAAACTTTAATGTGCATTTTGCATTGGGTATAAAAACACCACCGCAATTACAACCCAGCCAACACATAGCGAGTTCCTGAGTGCAGAGAACAGAATGCTAACAACTGTTTTTTAAATTATTTCTCTCTCAATATGTACAATTTTGATCTAGGCAAAAATAACAAATCCCTTTATTTAGTTCCACTTGCTGCTGCTGTTGCAATGGGCAGAGAGAGGAAAAAGAACTTATGAGGCCAGCAAGGAAAAGCAAAAAAGAAAATTACCAGAAGCAATGTCAAAATTTTGAGGTGGCTAACACAAGCTCCAAAAGGTATGACTGAGTTCAACACAGCTCCCAAGTTGCAGCCCTTTGCAATAACATCCTAAATTTTCTTATTTGCCTTCATAGTCATTTCAAATAGAACAGCAGTTAAGTAGCAGCTTTGTTCTTTATATCTGATTACATTTTCAGAGTAAATTTACAAATTAAGAATCTCTATGTTTATAAAACCATAATCTACGTTTGCAAGCAAAAAGGATCCTACTACATTCTTTTACAAAAGCACAGGGGCAGACGTACAGGTGTTGTTAAAGGGATGAGCAAACGAACCTTGTTCTTTTGAACAATCTCAGAAATCAGGCTACACAAACCCACGCAACAATATTGACATCTCTTTAAATCCTGGGACGATTGGGGAGGGGAGCTCAGCAGTGGTGGGAGGGCTTTCATGGGGTTACATGTTTATTTTGTTTAATTTTTTTTTTTTTTGTTAACTGTAGCTTTAACATATTAATATCAGCTCCACAAGAAGAGGGAAAAATAAAGCATTCAGGGAACTAGTGAAAGAATCTTTATATCACAAATATCTTACTGTTTTTAAGAATTCTCTGTAATTGTCCTTAATCTGGTTACTTTACAATTCTTTGTCATCACAATTTCTAAAACGTACAAATCCTTTCCTGCAGAGCTCAGTATTCATTACTGATATGTCTGGGCACATGTTTCAAAAAGAAGATACCAGACAAATATGTGACGTTAAAATACTCATGCTTCTAAATATATTTATTCAAATACTTCACTGGTTCAAACTCTCCATACGAAACCCTTCAGAAATGTGACCTATAAGCAATCTTGACTTTACTGAGACCTTCTTTTTGGCGGCTATTGGGAAATAATAAAAAAAAAAAAAAAAGCAGTTCAGATACCTGCTTTGCTACAGCAGTAAGTAACAGAGGAGATTAATTTCAGAAAATGTACTGAAACATTTGAGGAACTGGCCATTAAAACAGGCTTCTCTCTCTAAATATTTATGAGTCATTTTACAACTGGAAGAAAGGTGTTCTGGAATACTGATCTCTAGTGTTACACCTACAGATCTACAGCACTCACAAATAAATAATATTGATATGCATGCGTAGGTCTACCTGTACTGTATTTTCAGTGGGTATACAGTATCCAATATAATACATAAGCTACATGAATACCTCACAGCAAACTCAAAACATTGTGAAATAGTGTGTAATTTTTACACTGTGTTTCAGCACAGGTTTTTACCAAAGCAATGCTTTCACCTTCACTACCAGTGTATAAATGTATTTACCCTATCAAAGATTTTGTGATGCAAACACGGCTATTACTGTACCTGATTTGATCATGGTATTCTAGCAGAGATCAAATAATAGGGGTTTTTTTTCCCTTCTTTTTCTAGTGTCTTTAAAAAAAATTTCCACTATCAAAGAATGTTAATTTCTAAGGTTTGATCTAGAGATTCCTATGTAAGTATACAATTATTAGGGAAAAAGAGGCACAACAGTGAATATTTTAAAGCAATGTAATCAATATTTTTGCTTTGTGTAGATTTCCCTGCAACAATGAACAAAAAGATCTACTTCAGATTTAGAAACTCAGCTTTAAAGGGAAAGCTAGACAACAAAAAGCAAGAAAGTACTCACCTCTTCACGTAATTTTATCAACTGCAACATGAACGCACAAAAAAGATAAAAAGGAAAGAAATGGCAGGAAAGAAAGATCAGTTGTGTGACAGGATACAGAATTAACATTGACAATTTATCTGTTTACATGTTTAGCATTTAAAAATCACAGACAAACACATTAAAAGAACCTAAACATAGACTACATGCAGAGTTTTTTGAACGAATAAAGATCACTTTCTCACACTGTCACATTAAACAAAGAGAATAGTGTGAAATTCTCTTTTAAACCACATCTAAGACACCATCATGAAATAAAGGGGAATGACTTCATAGAAGTCTATATTATAAAGAAAAAAACAAGTTTACTATTCCTCTCTTCGAAGATTGTACAGCTGAAGTGGTTTTGTATATACAAGTTTTCAGAATGTTTTCTGTATATTTTAGTTGTGACAACTGATTTCTTATTTTACTAGCAGATCTAACTTATTAATAGATGACTGCATCTTTATAGCATGTAACCAGTATTTCCATTTTTATATACCCGAGTTCTAATGTGACTATATTATCTAATTTTATTATTGAACCTCATATAGGGTTTTTTTTTTTCCAGTTTAAAAAAAAAAAAAAAAGAAGCAGCTTAGTTAAATGGCTCAGAATTATTATTTATTGCATAGCATATTTAAAAATAGACAAAGGAATAGGGAACAGCATGAAACACATTTCCCTCAGAAAAGACCCATTCTGGGTTCTTAATCCTAGACCACTACACAGTGTATGTATATATACACACAAAGTGTGTGTATATACTTATAGAGTACATACATTTATATTTATCAATTTATGCTTGTAAATCAACACAATCTAACACTATTAATAATATTGCTCTGGCAGGTTTACTATAAAACTAAATAAAACCCCAGTCTGATTATCAAGCTATGTTGTAATAAGCTCTCCCCTTAGAGAGATAGATAAATTATATGTACTGGAACAAAACGTATAATTACTCACAACAAATGTCTGTATAAGGGTGGCTCTTTATGAAAAAATTACAGTTCTCTCACCGATTCCAGTTGAATTTGAAATTACAACAGCTACATCATTATCTCAGTTTATGCTGATACTTCACCTACAGTTTCATAACACTAATTTTCAACACGTGTGTAAGCTGAGAATGTTTACTACGAATAAAGTCTCGCCAGCATGAAGGAAACAAAAGAACCTCCATTATTCTCTATTGTTTCATATGGCTCGTCTAAAACAGAAGGTATGCCTCACCCCGTTCCAAAACGGACAACAAGACTCTAACGAGATGTAATTAGGAGAGTTACTACTACACCGACTTAAACCGAAACGGCTCTTCAGTACGTAGCTAAAGGAACTTTGCTAGAATTTGCTATAAAGAAAACTGCATTGTCCGCCAAACCGGCGCTTAAATTCAAGTGCTTGGCCTATCATAAATTGGGCTCTTTCTCCAGACCTTCCCCCCCTTTTTTCCCCAAAAAGGCAAACATTAAGGCTCTTTAGAAAGAGACGATCTGGGAGTTGATCACATAGCTATCTTTTCTTTCTGAGGCCACCATTCTTCAGTTGACTATGATACTTAAAGGGCCAAAGTTTAAAACTACTCTCCCGCAATAGAGCCCGTTTGGCCATGCCACCCTGCTATAATCAATGAGAGATTTCAAATGCTGCACATTTGTTTTTTCAATAGGTCCCAAACAAAAATGTTCTATCTGGTTTGTGCTGCATGGCTGAATTTAAGCTCTGCATGGGATTTGCAGCTAAGCTAAGTAATGGGAGAGGGTTTGGGTTTTTTTTTTTAACATTGGCTGAAAGATATTCATTCAAATTAACAAAAGATGTATTTTTCCCCCATTTAACAATGCTCTTGATGAAAATGCATTACCTTTACTTTTCTATTTTGAAACATTATTTTTATTATGCCCAGCGCTCAACTGTAAACAGCACTAAGCTGTCTGCAGCCACCATTTTACGTTATGGTAATCAGCATATTTTTGAAACAAAGATTTTTATTTTTTTTGCAACACAGAATTCGATACAAGAGGTAATCTGTTCCTTTGTAGGCTAAAAAAAAAAAAAAAAAAAAATCTGGTTTACGCTGGTTTGAACCAGTGGAATCTCTTGTGGCTAAGCCTTCTGCTGTGACTAAAATCAAAACTGCGCCGCAGAGAGCGAGATGGGGTGTGCGTGTGTGTGTGTGTGTGTGTATGTGTGTGTGTGTGTGTGTCTGAGGCATGTCACGTGACGGAGAAAACTACCGAATTTTTTTTAAAAAGCTGATAACGCTACCGCCGTCTCTGTCCGCATATAGATAACGAATAAATGCTGAACTCTATTAAACGCCCTTTACACATTATCGTGGGTCGAACACACAATTTTCTGAACTTATGATGACAGTCTATTTATTTTGCTATAAACCCTCGGCATGTAACGAACAGATTTGTGTCTGGTAATGATCTGCTCTGCCAGGGCTATATGAAATGATACCGACCTTCTTTAGATCTTGGGGAATTAAATTGACCAACTTCACCCCCTGGTCTGTAGCTGAAGTTTGACACACTTTATGCACAGCAAGCCCAAATCTAATATTATCAGAACTTTGTAGTCAGAAATTAAGTAGCCACAAAATATTTGTTCACCACAAATCGCATATGCAGTGTATGTGTATACGGACACGCAGTTTAACCTAATGCAAATTCATTTAAACTTCTTAATGAACATAGTTGCGAAAGAGAAGGGAATACTGTTAGATTTCAAGAAAGTTGGCAATACTGTACCTGGCACTATTTTGATCAAGTAGCATTTCTGATTTAACCCAACATATACTTTCTAAAAAACGTAAGAATTGCCACATGAAACATGAAAGTGAAACCACAACTTCAAGTAGTGTATCCTTGCACTGAAAAACTCAAAACTTTCAAGGGATTTGATAAATGGTGGTGGCCAGAATAACAAATAAGACTTGAAAGCAACAGAGCCCGTTTAAGACCACTCCTGGAAAATAAATAACAACCCAATGCACACAGTAGGGTTTTGGGTTTGGGGTTGTGAGGTGGGTTTTTTTAAATATGAGAAGGGAAGTTTCCTGATTCTCAGCCTTGATGTGCCTCATCTGACCACACTGACCTGATTCAAATTAAGAAGAAATTATCGTATACTAAGAATTGACTTCACTAAACTATTCTAAGTACATTAAGAGCACTATATCATGGCCTATCTCATTAAACAAAGATGCATTTATTTCAAATGAAACTTTGAATAGCAGAATTGTATAAATACTACAACTTCTTACAAGAAGTTTCTATATGCAATATCTGCTAAAATTAGTTCAATCATGGTATAATCATTTTAAGGCCACTGTATCCTAAGTTGTCATCTACACATGATGACTGCTACTTATGGGAGGCATTTTGGAAAAACAAAGAAGATGAGATAAATCATCATTTGCTAATTCTTCAATCTGTTCTTTGCACTTCAGTCTTTCTTCTTGGGAGAACAAACTGGAAATTCATAGCTATGACCCTATTCATTACAGCTTATAACTTAGCTGTGGTTTGCTGTAATTGTACCTTTGAAACTCAACTAAAAAAACTGAAGTTGAATAAAGAAAAGCTCCAAATTGTTTATTTTTCTAATAGTGCCCCATTTATTTCTAGATATTGAATATGGTCATACTAGTGAGTATATATTAACTTTCTTTTATCTTCTCACTCCACCAGAAACATTATGCAAATGTTTATCATGATGACAAAGACCATACCTAAAACATGCAGTTCATACCTCTTATTTCCCTTAGTTAACATCCCAGTCCAACCAGATATTCAGCATTTCTGCTGGCATATTTTACCAATATTTGTACAGGAGCATTCTGAGCTGGTAACTTTTTTCAACAACTCCTCTGTCAGCAGAGGAATCTCTCCTCTGCCCTCTAACAGTTTGGTAACTGAACTGGGGAAAACAAACCCACTGTTTTTTGGTCTAATCTAATCTAATCCAAACTGATAAAAAAGTTAAAGTGGTGAGGGTCAGCCCATCTACCTATATTTATTTTCATCAGACATAATGAAAGCAAGAATTTGAAACATCCTCAGATATTTTACATGGCTGTGAATTATACGTGAGCATCCTTTTATCATCTAGTCTATGTTTTCTAGTGATATAATAATGTATAGGAGTGAAAGTGCACTAGACCTGGAGTTGCTGAGTTAAATACCATATAGTGAATATGCTGTATCCATGTAAGTACCCAAACCTTACACCTGATTTGGATAACTGTACGTTCTGGTAAGTTCAACATCAGGCGGAAGTTTTTGCCCCAGCTGCTTGTACCCATAACTACATGCATAAAAGTACAAGTATAAATAATGGTATTTCATACAAATAAGAGGTTGTGAGATTGATTATTGGAACAACAAAATAAATTACCAGTATTTTAAAAAAATGTTATCACATATTTAAAAGAAATTAGGGGACTCCTTTATGGTGATAGTTCATAACATTTTTCAAGGAAGGAAAAAAGGAAATTCAGAACTTTCAAAGGTATAAGGGTAAGAATTTCAAGTTGGGTTATAGAAAAGGATTTTGATTATCTAAAAGACCACATAAAACTCTTTTACCAGCCAAAATTTTCTTCCACCTAAGAAGCGGTCATTTGGAAGAAAAAAATCATGTTGACAAAAGGTTGAAGGTATCATTTGGTTCCTTGAGATGAGACCATGTTTCTTCCATCAAGTTTAGAAAAAAGATCATAACTCGCAGAAAGTGCATGTGTGAACCAGTTATTTAACCATTCCTTAAAAAGTGAAAATAAAATATTTTATCTCATCCCCACACATAAGATATTCTGTTATAAGTAAAGCTTCTTATCACAATTGCCCTTTTATGTCTGAATTCACACAATTTTTTCTTGAAATGTAAAAATAGCAGCACCTTAAAAGAAATAAAATGAGAATCTTAACACTTTCACAGGACCGCGTTTACGATCATGACAGGCAAACTGTGAAACTCTTTTCCCTAAAATCTTCCTTTCCATAAATTCATTATTTAGGGATAAAAACTCCCTCCTTATTTTATTCAAATTTTGGAATCTCCCCTTGCTATATTATATAAATATAAAGATTACATCTTTTAAATTTACCTCTTCACATAGGTATTAGAGCTGCTATACAGTCGCCTACAGTTTAATGTCTACTAACATATTGTATCCTGTGTATAATTTCATTAATGTATGTATTAAAGTCTAAAACTTACACAGCACATTTAAATTACTGTATAAGGTTAAGGCTTAAGAGATCTGTGTTTTAAAATTGATTTTGCTGGGATAGGTCTCCAAGTCTTTCTTTTTTTTCTTATTGGAACTGAGCTTATATTGAGGGTAGAAGATACTAAAAATTTCAGAACATGGTTCTGATCTGTTTTCTTATTTAATATTGCATTTATCAAGCAAACATTTAAACAATTTTCACTTTCACTACCAAAATAATTTCAATTCCATCCAGTCAGAAGAGAAAATCTGATATTTAAGATAACTTCCACGTAACTTCTAACCCAAAATGCACAACTTTGATTACAGCTGACATGATTTTCAAAAAGAAAAGAAACATTCTGCTTTCAGACAGAGCTTGTCAAACAAGTTCCAGCACCAAAAGAAATATTAACAGGTGGGTCAAAGTCCCCTGAATATAGTGTCTCTTTTATAATTTTCAGTAGTCTAGCAGGATCCTCACCGTAGCTGCAGAACAACAATACGGGGGCAAGATTTTAATAAAGCCTCAGGATTATCAAGCTTTTCTTCATTAAAAGAGATGGGTAGCACTCCACGTTCTAGTACACCATGCATTATGAAAGCACGCTCTTATTAGTACAACTTGTGTTTTTGGTACAAGGAGAGAAAATCTGTTTAGGGAAGGAATCACACAAGGAAACTGAGTGGGGTACTGCCTAATTCTGAGAGCGCACTTTCATTTGTTTTGCCTGCCAGTGTTGATTTAATTATACTGCATTATTATCAAAGCTGCATTATGTACTTTTTTTATTCCTTTTACATGTGTTTGAGGTGAAGACCTTGGCTTTGTCGGCAAACAGCGCGTTTCAAGTTATTTCTTAAGTACTAAATAATAAAGAAAAGAGAAGAAAAGATTTTTTTTAAGATAGCAGACAGTGATCACAAGTTAAAGGGTTAAATGTAAGATCTCCAAGAAACATTTTGAAGTTGATTAAGACCCCAGCTTTGCATTAAACAGTATCACTTCCACATGAGTTGTTGCTAATGCTGTTAAGGAGCAGCTTGAGAAGCCCAGTGTGCCAGTGACCTCCTTCACCCTCCAGCCACCCACTAGGGCTTCTTGATTAGCATCCTACCTGGTTCTCTGAGGAATTCCCATCATCCCCTAGGAGCTCATTCCGCACCTCATCACTGTAGGCGATCCGTGACCTTTTCTGTAAAACAAAAAGAAAAAAGGGTTAGGAAGTAAAGCTCCGAAGCCATTGGTATCAAGGCTGATCATCTTAAACCTCGAGAGCCCCCTAATGGATACCTATTTGATATAAAAAAAAAAAAATAAATCTGCAAGTAAAAGTTATTAAAAAGTTCTTCAAGTACTGTATTTTGACAAATCTGCATGACAAAACCTTAGCTTTTCTAAGACAGTCACATCCTCAACGTTTCAGCAATGAGAGCAGCTTCAGTGAAGCTCGAGGTACAAAATGTGTGATCCCAGTTCTGATGAGCACGTAACCTCGACAAGCAATACACACTAACATCAGAAGCATTGAAGAAACGCATGTGTAGGAACCAAATGTATTTTTCTGAAGAACACTTGCTAGCTGGACGCAGAACTCAGTGTAACACCACAGTGATGACATTAAATAGGAAAGGAAGACTGAGCTTTCCCCATATTAAAAAAACCCAAAACCTGAACACCACACATTTGACAAAACTGGTTGAACTTACTGATGTAGAAAATTAACAAGTGATTCTTATGCTACAAGGCTCTTAAGGCTACAAAGGCCTACAGGGAAAGAACCAGAAATCAAAGGGCAAAAGAAAGGAGAGAAAACAACGTTGGTTTACAGCAGTTCATGGAAATACCACAAAACTGAGACAGCAATTCATTAGATCGTTATGACAGATTTGCTCATGAACTGACCACCATATCAATTCTAAACTAGATCAAGTGCTGAGCAATGGAAAGCAAATATCTGAAGATTACCAAAAAGACCAACGTTCAATGGAACAATGGGGAAGTTCGTAAAGAGAACATCAGCCCAGCTTTCAATTTCTCTGTTGGACAAAGAACAGGCCCTTAGCTGGTTAATATTCCTACACTCACCATTAATAGACAGAGAGGATTTTTAACATATTGTCTAAAATCTTTTTATATTTGAGTGCAGCTACAATCAATCTTACACTTCTTCAGAGGAAGAAACCCAAGAGTAGCAAGAACTAAGCTGTAGGACCTTCCTTTGTTGACAGGAGCTTCCCTCACACTCTGCTGGGGTAGCCATTACCAGTCAGAACTCAGCAAAAATAAATTCCTCCTCAACCCTTCCCTAATTGGACCATTGTGCCAAAAAACATACTTGGGACCCAGGCACAGGAAACAACCCACCAGACATTATACTGAGCCCTGGGAAATTCACTGCCTTTGTGACAAAAAAGTTTGGAAGTGGGTCACCCCTTCAGCCTTGTATCGGTCATCTCAGAGCAACGCATTTTTGCTTTTTATCCTGTGTAGTTCACCCTTTATTACCATCATCATCCCTACAATCCTCACCAGTTTGTGATTCGGTTGCCGGTGTTCAGATCTAGGTTATATACTAAAGCTACAGATGTATGTAAGAAAGGACAAAGCATTCCATGGACCTGCTACAAGAGCTGAATTGTGCCAAATCTTTTGGAGATCTCAGCTGTCACAGTTTCATACTAACCAAGCTAAAGTAGTCTACAGCATTAAAGGAAATGAGAACCTTTAAACAGGCTGTGGTATCAGAGCTGCCTGTTTAAATTATTCATTTCATCACTATGGGGGACTAAAACACTCCACAGTATGCAAGAATATCATATGGAGATAGGTTTTGTTTTTCTCTTTTTTCACCAAAAAGCCAACAAATTGGCATAGATTGCTCAATTATATTATTTTCTTATTTTTATTTGATACACATCAAACAAGGAAGGAAATTACAAATATATACCAATAAATATCTAATCTTCCTTTCTGATTAAGATTCAATCTTCCCATTTGAGGTCTAGCAGTTCAACTGTACGGTCTCTCCCAATTTCACAAAACGACTCAGCCCCATTGATTCCGTTAGTGTTGAATGTATTTATCATTATTAGACTGAGATGAGGAGCATGATGCTTCATAAGCGTGTTCTCCAGTGAACAAGTTGCCTAATTATATGTAGAGACTGAGATGGTCCTTGGTTACACATCATTTATTTGAAAGATTTAACTGGCTGATATTCTTATTCATAAGAGCCTGCGCGGAAGAAAGAAAAAAGAATATTCTTCATGGGAAAGAAATAAATGTTAATAGCAATACAATTTTTAGAGGCCCTTTATAATCACCACCACTGAACTTAATAAATACATTTGTATCATTGTTCTTTTATTGCAATAATCTGTCATGATCTGAAAATCAGCAATTACATTAAAAGAAATAACCTTTTGACTACAATTAGGTATAACTCTTTGCCATAATCAATAAATAATTTGATACTACTTTTGATCACAGTTTCACTACCAAATGAATCAATAATATAAAAGAAAAGGCCTTTGAACTAAAGTGTTCGTTTGTTCTTTCAGGATTTGTCCAAAATATCAATATCTTGAATTACTATTCTTATTTCTATTAAAGTAATATTGTCTAACACTTTAAAATGTAGCTATCAAAATTAGTTTGCTTCATCTGAACTCAATAATTAAATAATTTCTAGATTGTTTCTTTTTTTTTTTTTAGTTCCTAACTATCACCTGTTTATAAATATGTACTTTAGCCAAATGCAAGAATGATAGTTTGAGCTGGAAATGTCACATACTCCGCTACAGTTTGAAGGAACCCAATTCATAATGCATTTTATAAATAGTTAATGACTTCTATACATAAGCTAACCAGGCAAATCAAGAAATTGTCAACATTTTTAGTCTTAGTTGTCAGTTACCACTGTCTACTGGTACTTTATATGTATGTTTCTAGAAAAGACAGAAGCTTTACAGAGTTTGTAATCCAAGGCATTTCTGGGCAGCTCAATATAGGTTTAAGAGGTTCCGTGTGCAGGTTTTTGTCTGTAAAGGTCTGTCATATATACAAGTTTTCCTTGTATTTTGTATTTTCTTATATATAAATAGGCAAAAAGTCTAAGCACACAAGTGTTTTTAACTCAGTGTATGTGTTTGCATTCCTCCGCAGCGTGCGCAAGAACAAACCACGACACAAAAGGGTTAAGCTACTTTCTACAGGAACTTCAAGACAGAGAAAGTTTCAGGGGCTGTTTTAAATGTACTACAGTACCCAGACCTTCTGACAAAGAAGAATTTCTGATTCCAGGCAGATCTCTCTTGGTTTATGAACAGGATTTTTGCATACTGATTGGGTGATTTTCTTAAAGCCCTGTTCAAACAGATACACTTGCTCAGTTCTGTCTGGCAATTTGGCTTTAAACAATCTGTCTACTTGACCCAAGCCTTAACATTTCCCAATAGAACTGAATGTGTTCATGGGCAAGCACAGCTAAATTAGAATTGAAATGAATTAACTCAGCTTAAACTAATTAAGATCTGTGATCTGCAGTACCACCCCCCTGTATGATTCTACATGTGAAGTAGGGTACATGTAACCAGACTGTAAGAATTCTGCTATACTACTAATCTGAGCATAACAATGAAGTTCGTCTATTACTAAAGCATATGAGAAGTTAATTTCCATGGCCCACACATGGCAAAGCAATTGCTTAAATTGCCTCACCTGGGAATTTAATACAATGTTATCATCAGACCAGCCACACTGTAAATAGATTTATAATGCTTTCCATGTGCTAGGCTAGGTTGCATATGAATTAAGTAATGATCTGGTATTACAATACAATCAGCTAGTTCCCACACCTGGCAGACAGGATATTTTGCTAAATTACTACCTATACAGATACATCACAACATAAAAACAGAAAAGGCAATGGGAAGAGAAACAATCTGCATGGTGTATGACCGATTTTTACATGGTAACCAAATAAGATGTAGATAGAAAGAGGTATCCAAAATAATCTGTTTCCAACATCTGCACAACAGAACGCGTACTTATTCATTTCTATTCAATTTTGGCCTAATTTTCCGCATTCTATACTTTAATTACTCATCCACATTCTGAAATGTTCCCATTAGCGAAGGCCAGAACTAGCCAATGCCCCCTCACTCCAACGCACTTTCAGCAATCAGCCAAATAATTGATATGAAGTATCGCGCATTTTCATACCTGAAGAATAGATTCCCTCCTCCTAAACGCCCAGCAGCCCCCTCAGCAGACGACCACACCAAGGTGCATTTCAGACTAAAAGCCCAGCAAATCTTTTTGTCCTAACCTCTCCATTTTTTCAGGCTCATTGTTTTAAGAACAGATTAAACAGATTGTTTTGGTGAATTACGTGTAAGCAAACAAAAAGGTTTATTTATCCACAAACATCTGTTTTCATAGAAAATTTATTAGCATTTCCTAGTATATATGAATGGTTTAAAAAACATAAAAATATCTTCAGGCATCTGTTTCAGAGTTTGGCCCTGCTCTAGATGTAAATAAATACTTGAGATTAGCATAACCAGAAATAATTTGTAGAAATAAATCGAGTTTTTATTTTGTATTCTTGGAGTGTAGTCAGTTTTGCCATTGCTCTTGCTAAAAACAAGGTGAAAAAAGTGGCCTGATCTATGGCCTGATCATACTGCAGAATGTACACTTTCCTCTCTGCATTTCAGAACAGATATTTAAGTATTTTTTGCTGAGCAGAAATTGAAATGATACAGTTTAACAAATTTAGAAGAAAAATAAGTGATCCCACTTAATCTTAAGGCTTCTATTTAAGCAGAAATGCAAACCCACTTCTTCTGGAAATAAAATAAATAAGATGGATTAAGAAATTGTGTTCAAACTTCAGTTTTCAAAACTTCTCCATTCCTCTGTAAGGGTGAGCCAGGAACAATAGAGCAGGCACTTCAGACTGCAATTCAAAACCCCAAAGCTGATACATTTCTGTCCAAAAGGAAATAAAAACTTTTCTACAAATCCTATGCAACTTCTGATCGAAAGAATCAATTCAGCAGTACGCGGTGTCTGGCAGAAGTCAATGTCTAAGCCACCCCTGGTCTTGCCTGCCCTCCCCTCCCTACACGTACACAAAAAAAGATGCAGGCAACTCGGAAAGAGAAATGCACAACTTAAAACCTGCAT